CAGCAGTAGTACTAGTAGTAGTAGTAGTAGTAGTAGTAGTAGTAGTAGTAACAGTAGTAGTAGCAGTAGTAGTAGCAGTAATAGTAGTAGTAGTAGTAGTAGTAGTAGTCGTGGTGGTGGTGGTGGTGGTCGCAGTAATAGTAATAGTAATTCTAATCGTAATCGTAATAGTAAAAGTCAAAATTTAATGGTCGTATCAGCAGTGGTTCTAGTCGTCGTCGTAGTAGCCGTAGTGCTGGAAGGGCCCCCAAACAATCATACCCGAACTATCCGACTCCTAAAGATGGCCTAGGTGAGAACCACGACATGACTCATTGATCGATCTTGCAGTCTCATACCTCGTGGTTTAGATCCCTTGAGGTCGTACGTGTCGGAAGGGTGCCATATAAAGACGGGAAAGCCGAAAAAAAGACACACAAAGACAAAAAAACAAACAAAGACAGCTAGATCACAGATGAAACAAGCACAAATCGAAACAAAGGTTTTTGACACTCACACTCGGACAAAGCCTGGCAAGGTCGGTCTGTAGCGATACTGTCGGCCTCCTGGTCGGGTCGTCGAGCTAAAGCTTCAGAGACCCTAGCGGGAAGTTGCCAGTCCGTCGCCGCCTCTCGGCCATACGCTGGGCAGACGAGGTCAACCAGGATCCGGAGTCTCAGTGCATCTAGGGCCGCGACGATGCGGCGGGAAAAGACCATGCCCTCGCCCTTGTGACTAGGGCTCACCACTTGGAGAGCCGCCTTACAGTCGCAAAGCACCACCAGCCTTGTGAAGGCGACATCTCTCAAAGCCAGCACCGCCGCCTCGAGCACTGTCGCCAGCCCACACAACTCCGCAACGTAGGAGGACTGGTCCTCGGAGGACAGCCCCGCAGCCAGCACCTCGCCACCCTGGCCAGAAACAGGCCAGGCGGCCGCCGACTCTTTGGACGAGCCGTCAGTCGCACACACACAAGCAGGTCGCTGGCAGAGGCCATGTGAACCTGATGTCATGAGCATCTGCGTGCACGTCTGGCGGAGGTGGAAAATCCTCGACCGTCGCAGCAAACACACGCTCCACAGCTCTGTTGGTGATGCAGCCTGCTTGGGTACTCAAACACGCACGCGCACCATGTGTGCCACCGCCGCTCGGGCCGTTTAGTGCTGTGGTTCACGAACCAAACCGTCGATCCAGAAGCTAGTGCAATCAGCCGACGTGGTATAGAAGCCTGGTCCTCGAAGAAGAGACATCGGTGTGCCTGGCCACGGTGGCCCGGCGGAGTAGGTAGTGCTCGTCCTCATGGCGGTGGTAGCTGTCACGGACCCTGCTTGTAGCAAACAGCGCCCTCCTCTTGTGTTCAAAGAGTAGCCACTCCTCCAGTGTTTGCAGACCATCACAGCCGAGGACCCAACGAACCCTTCCGCGGTGGTCAGTGCGGAGAATGGGATCGCCGCTGTCGGTAGCACGCCACTTCCAACGATTCAAAGCTTCAAGCGCTCCCGGAAGAAGTTGCTTCCAAGGCTTCAGTGCGAAGCGCATGCAGGCACCGTCGAGCCAGAGAGGGCGGCTTTCACGAACACCAGGGTGCGGCGGGCCAGTCCGATGCACTCACCACTGTGCGAGGGGTGGATGGCCCGAAGGGCAGGTTGAACAAGTCGCACAATGGAATCCTCCTGCGCCATGACGGCCGTGTCCAGGATCACAACCAACGCGTTAACGTCCGCAACGAAGGATGCTTGATCTATATTGATTGATCTTCAGTGCCAAGACCAGCAGCGACCCGGCCCCCTTGCGTGAAGGCAACCGCCCAAGCGGCCACGGATTCCTTGGCAGACCCGTCCATTGCGCACACGATCGTGCTATCAACGGCGGCCAACCGGATCAGCTCTTGTGCCACCTCAGCAGATCCAGGGGCTCCCGCAAGCAAGCGAGGAGGAGCATGCACAAACAGAACAGACCAAAACAAAAAACTACGAACGCAATCAAAAAACAGCAAGATGATCCCAAAAACTTTGAGGGAAAGCCCTCGAGCAGAGAGCTCCGGCCTGCGTGAAACGGTGGAGAACGATTGAGATTTCAGCAAGCATCTTCACCCTTGCATTTGGCGCGCCCTATCGGGCACTTTGCCAAACACCAAACTCAGTCGTCGAACAGCTTTCGTTTAATACAATTTGACAAGACCCAACAAGAGTTCGTAAGGTGGAAACTGCGATACGGTCTTATGGGACATAAGAAGATTAAAAAAGAGTTGTGGGGCGATGTCCATGTCTTTTTGAACTGTACACAGGACATACCGGTATTGAATAAGATTTCACCGGCCCGAGTCTGACAATCGATCGCGCGCGAAGAATGCATTCCTAGAAGACTCTGAGCGGCTGAGCGGGGCTACCGAGGATCTCGACCCTGAGGATCTAGATGCCGAAGATTGCCAGCTTAAGGGGTTTCGGGTTTGGGCTGAGGATGCGGTTTGCGTTGAGGCTAGAGGGTGGGCCGATTAGGATTGTGGGCTGTGGCTGCGACTTGTGTTTCTGCTGGGGCTCCGACGAAAGATACAAAAAACATGGCAAGGCACATTAAGATATATAACCTACATTACGACTTTGGACATATACAACATAGAGACTAGTTTGAAACCCAAAGACAGACAAACACTGTCCTCTGCTCTGCCCTGTGAACGGTATGGTCCGTCAATTTCGATGCGACAAAACAAACAAAGAACCAGAAAAAAACAACTAAGAAAGATGCACAATGTTGAATAAAGGTAACATCGGCGAATAAATACACGTAAAGACAACGAAGAACAAGCAAAAAATAAACACACAAATGGAAAGGCAATCAATGCAAAATGGCTTCAAGGGCTCTGCTATTCATAGGCCTCCAGGGATCTAAACCCCGAGGATTCGAGCCCAAAAAAGTGCCACGGCCCCCATCAATAGAAATCGCAACTAGCTCCTCCTGAAAAGACTCTCTCTGCAAATAGCAGCATCAGCAGGCTGCGAGAATTTGAGGCAGGGCAACTGGGTAACTCCTCGAACTGCATGGCAAATAGACCTAACCCACAAAGAGAACAACAATGCCAAACCGGAACGTCCTAAGGCTACGCCTGCATTTAAAGTCACGAGCCTTCAACAAGAAAACCATGAATCAAGAATCGAAGACCTAAACAGCCCTCAATCGTGCAGCCGTTCGAGTAGCCCATGTCCCCAAGACCCGGAGCTGTGAACAACAGGCAGAATGCTTGCGAGAACGTTGTCCTGGTTGCAAAAGGCTTCGAATGCTACAGGAGGCCAACTCACCAGCGAGACGACTCAATCAGCCATCTACAGGTTCTAAACCGGCTATGCAATCATCAGGCCTTGCTGCTGTTTCACTTCTCCGGCCGTGAGTTCCTGATGCAAAAGCACTGATCAGGTACAATTACTCGAATCAGGTGTCACATGCCGATTCTTGGCCAAGATTCCGAGGACAGTCGCGCATTCTGAGAGCTGAGCTCGCGGCCTAAGTGAGAAATGGCCGGACAAAGCAATAACTAGTGTGGCAGACATGACATCGAAACGGATCAAGTGCTCCACACTGCACTTCCAGGCTTCGCAAGCGCATTTCATAATCCCTCATCACCATTGCAGCCTCCAGTGGCAAGTTTCTGAAACTCAGAAAGCGATCTGAGCCAAATGCACCGGGTCACCGCTGTGACTGGAGCCCGGCGCTCGCGGGCCCTCCGCCTTGCAACCAGTTGCAGCCTTTGAGCAACTTATAAGGCATCGCCGCACCATTCCACGCCTCTCTTCCTTTGGCGGGTCGCCCTGAGCTTCGTCCTGCATGCCTTCAGCATCAAGGGGGGCTGGCCTGATCGTGTTCCTGCAGCCGGCCTATAGACGGGCCAGGCCTTCTGCAGGCTCCGGCCTTTCGGAGGTCTCTTGCACGGCTGGCGCCTCCAATGCCTCCGCTGCGGCAGCCTCACAGGGTTCCCGTGCCTCCTTTTTCTTCAGGAGTTGTCTTCTGGAAGTCAAGGCTGCATCTTTAACGCATCTCCCGTCACCTACCCCTACCTGCTCCACCGGTGCAGGTGTAGCTGCATCGTCAGAAAGCATCGCCAAGCCAGGGTACTGACCTCGTCGTCACACAAGGACACAAGGCCAGTTCCCCACCTGTGCTTTCTGCGGGAGGCGAACCCGGCAAATGTGCAAAGGAGATTGCAAACCAGGGAGCGGAACATCGTGCATTGCGGGCGCAGCATCCAGGAATCAAGCATTGGCTGAGGCCTGAGAGACCCGCCATACTCTACTGCAGGACCATCGAATGATCTGGCCCCTCAGCGCTGCGACATCTAGCTATTGACAGCAGGTTGAGTCGTAGAAACACTGTGTGAAGGTGGGCCGGGTCTGGGCAAGAAGCGCCACAGGCATTCGGACCCTAACCTTTCATGCTTCTACACCGGAGTTCCACACCTCTCGTTTCCGAGGCGGCGTTCTCTCCGAGAGAGTCGCATTTGCATCCACATTCTGGACCGCACTCCGGAAAGCAAACCCAGGCACCTCCAGTAAGCCCTGACTATGGCAGAACCCAAAGCCGCATAACTCTTCTGCTTACAGGAACCGAGCTTGTCCCGAGGTCCGTGCATGTCCACATCCGCGGTAACGTTTCCACATCGCGTTGGCAGCCTGGGACCACGGGCACTTCGTACGACGGAGGTCGCGGCAGCCACCTCGGCTCCAATCATCCCACAGATGTCTGATTGTTGAATCATTAGCATCCCTACTGATGGTCACTACCGTCCGTCCGCGACGGGACCCTGTGCGCTTAAGACTTTTGAAACCCAAACCTACAAAACGAACCACTATGACAAGTGCTAGGGTCGGCACGGGCTGGCATGCCTGGCCAATGGCACGGCATGCTGCCGCCATGTGCCTTTCAGCAACGCCTGAGAAGATGCCCGCTCACAGGTCTTGAAGTTGAGGCATCTCAGCGAGAGCTCACCAGGCCTGGAGATGCTGCCTATACAAGCCGCTGGTACGATCTACCAGTAGCTTTGGACCGGGACCAGGTCACAGACCGTGCAGGTCGCAGTTCATCGCCAAAGCATGCAGACACAAGGAAGGCATACTTCAGCAAACTTCGGGTCCTGCAGGCAAAGCTGGACATCTCATCTGCTCCGGCAACCTCAGCAAAGCGATGCAAAGGATCAAGTCTTGCCTGAGCCCACGTGCTGCAGAGCGAACCAATTTTCACGCTCCCGCACTCTTGTGCGCGTCAGATAATTCCTGTCTTGCCACTCTTCCCCATATGTGCCTGCTGTGAGCCACGCCTTGCCGCTCCAAGGAAGCATCAATGCAATATTATGTGGGAATCTACTGATTCGACGTGGTGAACTATGTCGCCTCGTCGCAGTCTCCGGGCGGTGGGGGATCTAGCAAAGGCGAGGGTACGAGCTCCAGTTTTCTTGGAGGCAGGCACTTGGCCATTGTGGAGCGGGTTGCCTGAAAAGCTAGGAGCCCGATGACCGAAACTCCAAAGACTACGTTCACCATGCTTGCAGCACCACCAGTGACTGCCACACCGGGTATGTACTTCAAACTCGCTGCCAGATCAGCCAACGAAGACTCCTCCGAACGGAGCTGATGGCCTTCCGTGCCCCAGGAATCGGAGGCATGGCTGTGCGAGCTTGCCAGAGCTTGCTCTTCTGCAGGAAGTCCATGTGCTGCGGCCGCACGCCCGACTGGTCTTGCCTGTGCCTGCAAGGACGCAGACACGGTGCCGGTGGAACCTGTTGCTGCCACTCACACTTACAAGTGGAACCTCCAGGAACGCCGTTGCCGATGCTGCTGGTTCAGCCATCTCGTGGAACAGAAATGTTGCATGAGCACTTCGCCGATGGCTTTGCATTTCACCTCGGATGGCTCGCTGAACGTGACAGCTGTCTCCAGATGACGGTGGCTCTGGTGCTCTGGCTCTTAGGCCTTGGCTATTGGCCCTAGGCCTGAGGCCTCTTGAGCGGCTCGCGCTCCGGGCGACCAGGGCTCGTGAGTCAAATCATCTGAGCCACTATGGCCACAACGCGCATCCAGCCAAGACATCCCACGCTCCACGCCCACGCTTTACAAGCATATCTCATGCTTGGCACGCGAAACCTCGAGCTGGCCAAGCACAACATCTCAACCGCATTGCGTCCTTCTTTCAAGCCAGCGAAGTCGACTTGGTATGGTCGCCACGTCACTTGTGTCCGGTAGCGGCTTACAAGCAGACCTGTCAGTGCCTTAAGCGCATGTTGCACAGTCTCGGCAAACAGATAACACTACACGAGGGCACAGAAAATAATACAATCACACGCATCAGGCAAAGATTCTCTTGCCCTGCCCCAGCAGTAGAGAAGTCCTAGTGCTGCGGCAGGCTCGCTGGCTTCAACTGTACTTGCACAGCATGTGCACCAATGTGCCTCATGCCGACTTTGCTTCAAACGGCAGATATGCTACCACCAGCTCCTGTTTACTTGCTCGAGAGTCTCTTTTACTGGGCATGCCACGACCGATATCATGCTGGTGGTTGACTGCCCTGTAGCTAGCAAAAGCAAGCATGCATTGCTGCCTGAAGCCCATTTTGAGGAGCTGGGTCTTGAAGCTGCAACCGAAATGTCCAGGCAGCTGCCAGAGCATTGTCACATCGCGATCTTTCCGCGGAAGGGTGGCAACCGGAAGTATCGGCCTCACGTCCATCGTCGGCCTCGTTGGACCAAAGCAATGGAACTCACATCACCTCAGTTGTTGAAGTGGTCGTCGCCAGAAGAGGCACCCGTTGAACGATTGTTCATGAACCTACAGAGTGCCCCACCCTAGTTCCCGGCAGAGCTGCAACAAAATGCAAGATTCCTTCACATAGCATAGTTGGCTATCGAGTTTTTGGCAATGACCGCAAGGTCCGAGGAGGATTCAGCAGGGTAGTGTCCGCGACACTCTCTGGCGACCGGATCCGGAGATCCGTGCCATGAACTTCCATGGTCCGTGCTTTCCACAGGAAGTTTGGCAATGACAACTAACCCGCCACAGCACTTCCAATCCAGGCGGCAAGATCACACATCTCTGCTCGAGTCTCGTTTGAAAACGTTCATCAGTCCTCGGCACTACCAAGCAGTTGTAGTGCAATGCGAAGATTCAGAGAGAACACCCACGAAGATCAGAGTGCAGACTGGGGTCTACGAAAACGGGAGCTTTCAGTGCTGGACTCTGGTCCGGGCCTCGGAAAGCAGGCGCTGCTCCATGCAGAGGACGGCAGACGGCAAGAACTGGGCTCCGAGCACGTCATCTTCGGCCAACATGGCAGTTCTGGACGGTCGTGCCTGTCTGCCTCTTCAGGATCAACAAGGAGAATACGCGGGAAGTGTTCGATGTGCAAAGGGGTGAACCCAAATCGGAACATCTGCACAAACGCTCCGGGCCCGCAGTCAACCAGACTTGAAAATCAAAATAATTGCCCAACTGCCTTCAGCTCCTGACACAGTCAACCGGGTTGCAATGCGGCCCACCACAGTAACAGGTCGCTAAAACTTTAGTGTACGGAACCTGAGGCCAAGATCATGATACACAGGACAGTCAGCAAGCGCATGCCCCGTGCTGACAGGAAGGCTGCTGAGCCTTCTTCCTCTTTAGGATCAACAGGCCACATAGCCGTGCGGGAGCGCAGGGCATGGTCAGCCTCAGCTCGCGGCGTCTTCGCGCTCTAGCAATACGACCGAATCAGTCATCACCATCATCCTCATCATCATCACCATCATTGGCATCATCATCATCATTATCATGTCGGACGGTCCGGACGTGACAAAACCGGAAGTCACAAACCCCGGCAGGCTGATTTCACCATGCTCACAGACGGAAGCATGTCATTTCGGAAGCAGCCTCGTCGTTGTCATCCTCGACTCCTGCAGCACGACATCGAAACGGGAACCCTTCACTACCGCACTTTGCTGAGCGGTAGTGAGTGAGGTAGTGACATAGTGGCACAGCGCATCGCGTCTCAATAACTTTTGTTCAGGGGGCCTCTGGCTTAGCGCACCGACCTGGCCTGGCAGCATCGCCGTCCGCGAACGCACCGCGTGTTCTACTTCCTTGTCCTCAGCTAATTCAGAAATCACAACGCGAATTCGGTGTTGGGCACGGCGTTTACATCCTGGGTTGGACTCGAATCTGAGCTCGGGGCATCATAGGGTGCAACTAGCATGGCCGTTCTGGATGGCTTGAGGCTGCTGCTACCTCATCGCACAGTCGCCGAATGAATGGGTCCCGAAGCTGCAACAGAAACCGGTGAACTTGACGCACGCTCTCGTGAGCTATCATGTGCAGGCGAAGGTGTCCGGCCTGTCACGTCCTCCTCCTCAGACGGAGCTGGCAGCATTGCAGTGCGGCTGCGAAGCGCTTGTCCTTGACAATCTTCCATAACCTTGGCCAGGCCCCAATCGGACCTTTCGTCTCTCCCATTCAAATTCCATCTATCCGTCAAACAGGCCTCATGTAGTCTGATTATATCACAACAGACTGCCGAGGTGCATCGTGGCGGTTTGTCAACGGGACAAGTCACTCTTCCAGTCTTCTGGCAACGACCGAGCGGCCTGCGGCCTTTTTTCTATGTGGCCGACAGAGGACCATGACAAAACTCCGATTGCTGTCCTGGAGACTGGGGAAATTTACGGCGAGGCCTTGAGGCCGTCTGCTTCGGGCTACGAGAGGCTGCATGCTCAGTGTCGATTTAGACGTCGTGGCAGGATGCACGCAGGCTTGTGCTGAAATCCTCGCGCATGCTTGCGGCATGTGCCTGTTGCGACCATCGCTGGGAGCGTCAGAGCATGATGCCCGGACGGATGCCGACAGATGGCATCCGGCCACCGGGATTCCTTCTGAATTGCCAGATGCAGACCGAGCCGCATCATCCAGCTTGTTCACGTCACTTTCTCTTTCGTTGCCTGTAACGATACAGGCGGCACTGTTGCACATTTGGCCAAATCGAAGCTTCAAGCTTCGGCATGACTCGACGGACGGCAGCGGAGGAGACAACAGTTAGGGAGTGCAACTACACTGAGGATCCGGGACTCACAAGGCGATTCCGAGCAGAGCCTGGCACTTCAGGTCGAACTTGAGAGGTGGACACGTCCGGCGTAATGAAGTCAGCCTGAAAAAGAGCTTTGCGCATCTTCGCCCGCATGCTTCGGAACGTCTGCTGCACGACACTCTGCGCGACTGCATTCGGCATTGCTGTCTGATGCTTGATGTGTCCCATCCAGACCATGCCGTCATGTTTAATGAAATTAGATTTGGTGGCTGCTCTGCCCTGGTCCCAAGGGCTGTCCTTCTCAACCTCTGCCATGAGAGAAGGCACCAACCTTGGCTGCCGCCGAGGGCCAAGCAATTCAGGTAAAGCTTGAACTTGCAAAACGCGGAATGCCAACCGGGCGGGGTTGGGTCAATTCCCGAGGAAATGAAGCAGAGTTGCCTCACACGACTGTGCAGCTGGTCTCACCTACGGAACTTGAGCCAGAAGCCAGGCTGCGAGCTGGCGAAGTACGCAACACTACGACAGCAGAAAGCAGAAACGAGCGAGTCCGAAGAGCTCCGAGAGCTCCGGCCGACTGCAGCGTGCTGGCCAACTCCTTGGATTGCTGCAACAACCTCGGCCCACGTACCGCACACGCAGGCGAGGATGCAAATGCGTTTTGCCACAGCCTTGCCTGTTGGAAAGCTCGGTGGCCCTCAAGCCTGAAGACACATGGAAGCGAAGCGAAGATGGTGCAAGCCGTGGAAGCCTCTTAACACTGCCGGCAGCAGTACGGGCAACGCAGTCATGTTCACTGAGGTCACCATAGGCCAGGCCTCTCTCTGAGATTATCTCCGTGCACTGCATCAAATCCCGCGTGGCGCTCACCGCCTGCCTGCGCCGAAAGACGCCACCAAAGCGGCAAGGGCCCGAAAGACTTCCCTGCGGACCCCACCTGGTCATGCCCTCTGCTGTCTTGATCTTTTCCAGTAGCGGGATAAGATCCGATGGGACACCGACCGCACACCTGCGTCTGATCGTGCTTTCAGGGTGCAAAGGAAGAACACGAATCCGAGCTACGAGAAGCCCGGCCTTGACACACTCTGGGAGGCCTGCGTGACACAGTGGGTGCCTGCGACTGGGTGAGCTTGGATGGAACGCAGGTCCAGATCTCCAGTGCTAGTGCCAGAAAGTCACTGTCCAACAGATGCGTGCCGCACCTAGACACAGGTGCTGCTGCGCCTCTAGAGCCACACATGGACGACCGAAATGAGTGCCGACCAGTAGCCGCAAGAGCTGTGACCAAGAGCGGCAAGTTCCTGTGGCCTGCTTTAGTCACCAAGTTTTCGATACCTTGAATCAGGGCCCGCCAAAAGCCAACCACGATCAGCCTCTGAAGCCAGTCGTGCCACTTTCATGCACATCTGTGCTCCGTCCAATGCGTGCCTTGGTGCGCTCCGCATCGGTAACCCACTCGAGCTCTCTCCGCCCAAGGCCGCCAAGAAGCTCAGCCTGCCTAGAAACGCTTTCCACAGGAATGGCCTTGACGACTGCCTAAGTCTAGAACGTGTCTCGGGCTTCTTCCGCCCAAGCCCTAGCGCTCTGCCCTCTGAAGTCGGCGCTTCGGCATCCAGAGCCTTCAGGTCCTTCTCAGCGGCAGTAAACCGAAAAACATCTCGAGCGCACGCGACCTCCAAGGGCTCCCTCTCCGAATCGCGAGAAGCTGCAGCCTCCTACAAACACACAGGAGCCACCCACATGGAGTGTCTTCGCGCGCTTCATGCCTTGTCAGCTCCCTCCGACTTTGAGGACTCCTCCGACTCCTCCGACTCCGGCTCTGAGCACGGCTCCTTCAGCCATCCTACTGGGCTGATCATCTGATCTTGAACCCGCAAGCCATGCCATGCCTCCTGCTCCTGACGCGGACTCCTGAGAGACAGGCAGCTACTTGCAGGCCCCAACAAAGCAGGACTGCGAGACGGGCCATGCAAATCGCAGCCAGGACTCGGCAGATCGACGGTCTTGGCTTCCGTCTGCACCCCATCTTGCGGTGCCGGCTCCACGCCTTCAAGGATCGTCCCCGATTCTCGGTTTGCTCCTCCTGTACACTGCTTTACCGCATCGCGCCTTGAGGCGAAGCCGTGTCAACATGTCCGCTTTTGGTGGTTTCGGTCGGTGCAGCCTCGGGCGCCGCTTCTGTCGGGACAGCCTGGACCAAGCAAGACTTGCGGAAATACTTTAGGCCGCATTTTCAGCCGACCCAAAAGGCCATGCGCGGGCCACTCAACCTTGCAACTTTTTGCGTCACAATCGGCAGGAAGGAGCCACTCGTATGGAAAAAGCCTTCCGTCGAAGGTACCCAGGCATTGCAGGCCAGGAGTTTGTCTCGCGTGCGCGAGGAAAACAGGGGTAAGCTAGTAACAGCTGCCGTGCAGTCACGCATTCGAGCCTGGATTCTCCAGAGCTCGCATGAAGATAAGTGTGGGCAACGTGGCCATGGTGCCAGAACAGCATGAGCGCAGGACGACAGACCTCCCTGAAGACTTCCTTCAAGCCCCGAATTCTTGCCAACACATGATCTCGGCAGAAAAGGTGTTTTACATCCGCGGCATCGCATCCAAATGTCGCTTGTGCTTGGATGGAGCTTGGGTTCTGACACCTGCCTGGCAAAGTTGCCCAAACTCACGAGGAGGTGAGTTAAACACATGTGACAAGGGTGTGTCAATCCGGTATTGGTAGATCTCCGATGCCTTTGGCCACCAGATTGTGTCCATTACTTTTGTAGCTTTCGTCATGGTACGCTATACTCGGATGTCCAATGCACGATTGCTGGTGGCATCAGGAAGTCAGCGTCACATCACTCTGGTTGCGGCCCGAAGAAGCCTTTCCACGCACACAACGCAGAGAAGCACGGTATGTCCACTGCAGACTTGCGAGCCCCGGCTTGATCGGACATCAACCTCAAAATTTGCATTACGTCATCTCGCTGCTTTACGACCAGCATCTTTCTGCTCCTGCTATGCTGTCCAAGAAGTCTGTCCAAATCCCAATTGCCGAGCATCCTCAACTGAATCCAAGGAGCACAACTTCGTCCTCAGACCAATTCCACATTTGCAGATGTGAGCAGCTCAAACACACCCGTGCCTCTTTCAGCTCAATAATTCAATAGTGCAACCAGGCAACCTCCACACGGTGCTTGCTTCTTCGGTGTTTGCCATGGTTTCGTTGCTTCCTTATCATCTTCGAATCCTCCAAGGCTTTCGTCAAGTGCCTCGCATCCAAAACATCTGAGGCACATCAAGATCAGTGACAGCAACGGTGCAATGCCAGAGTACAACACAGCGTCAGATAGCAACTTCACGTCGCATTGCAAGCATATCCTGAGGTACGGCAGGTACGGCGGGCAAGCGTTGACAAATCTAGGAACAGCTGTCGCTTAGCGAAGCTCTCCTTCGATCGCCCCGCATGGTTCAGCCAAGCATCTGGTCAATTGCACGTGCAGGACCCTTGCAACGCAGAATGCCGTCGATGAAGTCTTCGTAGGTCACCTGTCCTTCACCTAACGGTTAGTTATCCTTCGTTGTTGTGTAGAGCTGCAACATCTCTCACGAAACTAGAAAAGGAGTCATGGCGTCATGGGCGCGAAGTAGAGCAGAGCCTACTGTATGGATGAAGGATTAGCAAACAAGCCGTTGTTGCTCTATGGCATAGGCACCCGGTGCTCTACCGTCGCACGGGTTTGTTGAGTCAGTGTGGACGGTTCTGTTTGGGGCCGTCTTCGACATTCCACGTTCGGACACGATCTTCGGTCGCTCGAAACCAATAGCCTCAATTTCGACTCACACACTCGCACAAGGNNAGGCAGGCATGGCAATGAGGTTCCGAGCCTCAATTTACTATCCGGGATTCGCTGGAAATTGAGCAAGACTTTGTCATTGGATGCGTCAGATGCGTTGGTTCACGGCGTGCGTTAAGTTTGCAGCTCAACCTGCAGCTAAGCGGGCCAAGAGCTAATAGTTCGCACAAACCTAGAAGCTGTTCCTGCGGGCGTGTTGGCCTCAAGAGTCTGTGGCAAAAGCTCAAAGACCGTATCAAGTTCAGAACTAAGCCTTTGCCGGCCGTAACAAGCCAGGGCATCACATCAGAGAACGGCGAACCACCTTTTCCAATTCAACTTTGCGGTAGGTCTCCACACCGGGCCTTGCAGATGAGACCTTCGTGATGAGCGTTACGAAGGCATGGGTTAACCCGCTTGTGTCAACTCCCGAGTGCTTGGACCCAACAAGTTCGCTTCGTGGTCTAAACACACAAGTCGTGGGTGGTAGTAATCGTGTGACAACCTGCAGCTTGTCTTTGGTCAAGCTAAGAGAGAACATATCGTTAGGGTGGTTCTGCGTGCTGCTTGTATTCCCTCTCAACCACGGGAAGTACGGGCACGTCCTGAAGCTTGCATACCCGAACCAATTGAAACTCAAAAACGACGTGAACCCTACAGTGTGGGCATGGACGTCCATGTAATTGAGGGGCAGCCACACTGGCATGCGCACAACACGACACTGGGAGAGACACTCCCTTACGGCAAGGAGGGAACCCAGACCGAGAATCGACCGGCAGCTGAAACCATGGTCAAGCAATAACTTTGGCACTGAATGCCATCTCCACGAGCAGATTCTTTTGACGCAGCCGTTGACGGATGCAGTGTCGAACAGAAATTGCAACTTTCAGTTGTGACAGCATGCTGTCACGGGGTGTGTGCTAAACGCGGATGCTTCACTGAGGGCCAATTTCTGTTGGGCCTGTGGCTTGCATCCCTAGTTTGGACCATGCCATGTGATTTTGCCATGGCCCCTCAGCTGTCTTCACTGCTTGATGCCTGCCAGTCGAGCTGGCCGGTAGACTAGGCTGGGATGCCTCCCTCGGCAGGGGTGTCCAGCAGGTTGGGGTTTGTTTTGAGGCAGGTTACTTGTCATGGGTTCGATTCGCCGTAGGCATGGCGCAGGGCATGCAGGACGCCTGCAGCTCACGGGTTGCTTGGAGGGTTGTCTGCTTTGGAGTCCTCCCCATTCCACTTTTTGTCCGCTTGGCCCTTTCCCATTCCCATCCCCTTGGCTGCAGACCGTTCGTCAGATTGCCAAGTCCCACCACGCGATCCCGAATTTTCCGCGAACTTTGCCGGCTTCGCACCACCAGCAACCAAGTTGAATGATGCAAAAGATGACTGGCACGCTGTCTTCGTGATGCAGGCACCACTGCCGCACGTGACCAATCTTTCTTGGGCAACGCACAAGAGCAATCAGCCAGCTTCGAATAGCAGCCCTAAGACCGAAGCCAGTAGCGCACATTGACTTCGAGTGTATCTGCTATGCATGCGTTGTATCGCTTCCCACGAAGCGTGACACTGGTGAGTCTGGCATGACTCCGAAGCGACTGACTAGACTTTCTTGTCAAGTAGCCAAGAACTGCTCCCCCACACGTAAGAAAGCAAAATTGACAACACTCAGTCAAGTATCCAAGTGGTGGATCACACTCTTAGACCCCCTTAGACTCTCTTAGACTCTTGCATCAAGGCACCGTTCTGCAGCAAGCGATACAAGGCCTGGCCCTCGTTCAAATCCAAATCCAGGCTGGCCAAGTAGGCCTGGACCTTCGAATCTTCCAAGACGGCCGACCTCGGGAGCTCGGAGAGTGGGAGGCAACACGGTTTTACATAGCCTTCGCTAAGGGCTCCCCTTTCTGATGATCCTAGCACCATGGTCTTGTGAGTGAACTTTTTCGCAGGAGCTAAGAGAAGTGGGGGATCGGCTTACCTATGGCAATGAGCAAGCGGACGCTTCACCGTTCCTCATCCCTGGAATGCATGGGGTGAGACCATAATGCAGTCACCGTGCATCTCTGCTTCTGTGAGTACACCATCCCCACTTTCATCCATTGCCCGAAAAATGCCTGTCGCAGTTCAGAGCAGAGGGCTTACGATTAACCCGTTAACCACTGTCATAAGAATTTTCCCTAAGACCTTCAAGCCGTTTGATGTACTTGCCCTTCTGCCGCAACCGCTCCATAACCATGAGCTCTGCATCATTGTTCGCTGCTTCCAAAGTTTCGCGTAGGAAAACGGCCGTGATGACACGAAGCACCTTACAAGTCCAGGCCAGCTGAGCCCTTGCAAACGATTCAGAGTGTTCTGTCAAGGCCGGGCCGCGGCAAAAACAATCAGTGTGACGTAGATCACGAAGAAAACAGCATAGGAGTGATCGACATCTTCCAACACCGGACCTGGGCTGAGTGCCCTCCCGACACTTACAGCTCACGAGAGGCCGTCCAAAGTCCCTCCGCTCATCAGACCCAAGGCGAAAATTCTTTCACACTTGCCAGTGCCAGTTGGACGAGAACTGTGGGCGCGACGGGTCCGAGTGGTCCAATTACCTGCAAAAGTTATCTCGTACCTTAGCAGGGAAAGTGACAACTGCAGAAGCTAGGCGGGAAGGCGTCATGCGCCAGCTACGGCCGCAATTTGCGCTGCGAACCCTCCAACCTCTTGCCACAAGGAAGCAATGTGAAGCAATCCGAAGCTAGCTTCAGCAACACTCAGGCGGCCAAACATGAATCACAGACTGACTGGCCCCACCTGTTTCACCACAACATACAGCAATGTGCAAAACTGTGCAGAATCTACAAAAAGCAAAGCGGAGCACACACAGCAGTGCGACCGCGTGAAACGAAGCCAACTAAGCCAAGCGGTACTACAATACAAGCAAGAACCAGGAAACAAGACTGACACTGCATGAGACAGAACAAACCGCCGCAGAAGCCAGGACACAAGAGTCCGACCGCCATCGAAAGAGGAACCCAGATGAAACGGATTGGTGCTTTTTGCTCGCTCCTTGTTTTTGTTTTTGCTCCGTTGGCCTTCACCCCACCCGTCCCCCTAAACCGTGGCATCGCCTTTCTGTCCTGGCCGTCCCCTGCCTGGCTCGCTACCCCCCACTAGTAGGAACAAGAACTGATAGTCATAACAAGCGAAACAGTGACTACGCAAATACGAACGGTAAAGAGGTAGAAGGTAGTAGAGGTAATAGAGGTAGCCGAGGTAATGGTAGTGGTGGTGGTAGTGGCAGGCAGTGGCAGTAGCACTAGCAGCAGCA